CTCATGATCCAGATCACGAGTTTGAGAGGTTAATTCAGGTTATTTTTAATTGATATTTTTAATTTTATCATTCAACATTGAATTATTTAAGAATTGTGCTTTACAATTTGTTTTAATTTATTTTTTATGGAGTCATATTGGTCTCATGACTTATGTCGTGAATTTTATAAGTTAACTCCAACTTACTCGAATGATTTTTTTTATATAAATTTTTAATTAATTTTTTTAATTTTATCTTTTAATATTGAGTTAATTGAAAATTAGTTTTTATAGGTTATATTTATTTATTTTATATGAGGTTATTATGGTCTCATTGTTAAGGTTGTAAATTTAACATATTAATCTAAATTGATCCAGATTGATCCAATATATTATTATTTTAATATTTTAAAAAATTATCATTTTGAATTTTTTTAGTTAAACAATGTTTTTACCTGTTATCCATTTTAATCCAATAAGTCAACCGAGTTATATTGGATCAACTCTTATATGGTTTAATTTGTTTTTTTACTAAAAAAACATTAACAACACTTTTATATATATATATATATATTTACATCAGAAGAAATTGATCTGACACTGTTGATGTATTCATGTAGAAAAATCTCACTAATTTTAGTTTGTATTGCAATTGTAATATAATTACTAACCCTAAAGCTTTGGGTAAAATCGAATTTTGCTAAAAGTGAAACATAGATCTCCTGTAATTTGGTAATAAAGGGGTTAGACTATTTCTTTAAAAAGCAGAATTTTTTTTTGAATTTTTTTTTGCATCAATTAATAAGACTGAATAATTTTAAAGGCTAATACGAATAACTCTCATAACTCTCGTATTAGCCTAGTATATTCAATAAATTCATTTAGCATTAACTTATAGACTTAAATCTAAAAAGCCAAGAACATGAACATACCTTCTTGACCACGATACCTATTATAAGGTTAGTTGTCAGATCATACATGTCATAATATCTCCAATTATGTATATGCAATGCGCCATTTCGTTCATGTAAATAATGCATAAATTTTAGATGAAAGTTATAAAAAGGCATCAAACATGAAATTATGGAATATATTGAACATGAAACCTTCTCTTTTCTACCTTTTCAAGTAGATTTTTAATTACCACGTTCAAGTCCATATAATCAAAATATAAATTTCTTTTGAAAACAAAAAAAAATCATATTTTTATTATATTTCTAATTTAAGCAAATCATATAAGTTAAATTAAATGAGACATATAACACCAATAAAAATTAAATATGACATGTAAAAAATAAAAAAATTAAATATTATGAATTATGATTATAATATAACTTCACAAGTAAGAAATGATACGACTAACAAAACAAACATACCTTGTTAGAGTAATTTTCAAGATGTCAAACAATCAAAAATGTTAAGATGAAAAATATATATTCATCTTGTCAAACTGTTGAAGATTCTCAAACTCAAGAATTTTTTTTTTTTTATATATATATATATATATAATAACTTCACAAGTAAGAAATGATGCAATTAATAAAACAAATATACCTTGTTAGAGTAATTTTCAAGATATCAAATAATAAAAAATATTAAGATAAAAGATATATATTTATCTTGCCAAACAATTGAAGATTCACAAACTTAATAATCTTGTATATTTATATTAATAACTTCACAAGTAAAAAACAATGCGATGAATAAAATAAACATACCTTGTTAGAGTAATTTTCAAGATATTAAATAATTAAGAATGTTAAGATGAAAAATATATATTCATGTTGCCAAACAATTGAAGATTCTTAAACTTAATAATCTTACATATTTATGCTAATAACTTCAGAGGAAAAAAACAAATCTTGTTACAATAATTTTCTAGATATCAAACAATCAAGAATGTTAAGACAAAAGATATATATTCATCTTGCCAAACAACTGAATATTCTCAAACTCAAGAATCTTACATATTTATACTAAAATATTGTTTGTCCAAAAGAAAAGGAATTAAATATCAAGATAAAGTATTAGATAATGTTTAATATGTTAGACAATATTGTATTTTGTGTTTGATGTGTTTTAGATTGTACTAAATAATTTGTCTTATTTTATATTTGATAAACACTAAAAGAGAGTTAAGCTTTAAAATTATTATAATAATTATTTTTATTTTTATATTAATCCAAGTCAATCATCAACTCTACCTGTGATCCAAGTTTGGCTCCGAATTGGTCCTCAAGTTGAGTTTTAAAATTATAATAATAATTATTTTATCTTTATATTGACCCAGATCAATGATCAACCCGACTCGTGACTCTACTGTGATCTTGGGTTATCTCCAAATCGAATTTTTAAACTATAATAATAATTATTTTTATTTATACATTGACTAAGATTAATGGTTAACTCGACTCGTGACCAGATTAACTCCTAGTCAAGTTTTAAAATTATAATAATAATTATTTTTATCTATACATTGACTAAGATTAATGGTTAACTCGACTCGTGACCAGATTAAAAGATCAATGGTTAACTCGACTCGTGACCAGATTAATTCTTAGTCAAGTTTTAAAATTATAATAATAATAATTATTTTTATTTTTACATTGATTCAAATTAACCAAATTAATTATTATACATAGAAATAGAATAATCTTAGAAAAAACAAAAATTAATTTTTATAATAGTCAAAGATACATCCAAACAAATTCACAAATAAATTATTCTATACAGTTCATCATACCTAACCCTACCTTATTGAAGTCCTAGCGCGTGTTGTTGATCGAGTTAGGTCTGTCAAGTGCATATATGAGAAGTCAAGAAGAAAAAGGAGCGTTAGGGCACGATCGAGTTCCCTTCTCCACTCGTGCTTGAACCCTCCAGTCCAGTCAACCAACCCTGCATGTGCTAATTAATAAGCCTGCCTTCCCTGTGGTAGTGAATCTGGTATGATCTCTCATCACGTGATTATCCACCGGCCCCAAACTAATTAATGTCTTCGTTAATATCCAAAAATCCAAGCTTTTGGAGCTTTACAACTCGCATAAAGCAATTAATAAAGTTTCCAAAGAGAAATTAACCACTTGGTGGACTTGCTGCTTGCTCGGCAATTAATAATTAATTGTGACATTAATCCATCCTAAAATCGAAGGGGAAATACTGGCCAGTCGGGTTCCACTAGTGCCAAAATAACACAGTACGATGTTTATCTGCTGACTTAGTTTTTGATAGACAAGAAAATATGTGTTTGGATTTTGCATGCAATGGACTTGTTGCCTTAATACCAAGCTGGCAGTACAGTGCTCGCCCTCTTTTGAGAGTCTCTGGCGCACCCAAGAGAAAGCAAGGAAGTCTGGAGAACTTTCAAGATCAAATTACACCTTTTATTAATCTTTGCTTTCAAATGTAGAATTCTAAATCATATATAACATTACTCAAAGCAAAAGAATAAACATAAAAATAACTTGTAAAATCTCCAAAAATAGATATATGCCGATCGAAACAATATAAATTTACAGGACATGGATTTAATTTTTTTTTATTGGTAATAAATGTCTATTTTTTCTTCTTTTTTGGGTTATTTTAATTTTTTTAGGCTCTGATTTCTACGTTCTATGGCTTCACTTAAAAAAAAAAACTTATTATAAGCTACTTTTTTCTGGTAAAGTCCTTGAAAGTTCTTATATTTTTTGTGTTTGAAAATTAAATTATTTTTGGTGGTCAAAGGGACACTTTTAATTAAAAGAAAAAATGAGCAAGAGGGTATATGAGAAAAATTATTGATATATGAGCTCTTATGGAAGTGAAAAAATCTTAAAGGGTATGTGGAGGAAATACGCCCAATATATAAAAATAGATGGATATATTATCTCAAAAACTAAATAATTTGAAATTAAAAAAAAATAGAAAAAACAAAAAACAATCACAAAGAACTTCTTTAGTAGAACATATACCATAAAGCTTGAGAGTTAATTTCTCAAGATTTTTTTCTAATCCTACATGGTTCAATTTTCACTCAGTAACAACATCATATTGTCCATTTTCAATATAATAATTAAATAAAATCATGATTCAAATAAGTCTAACTCTCAATTTTTCAATCGATAACCCTCTCTATCACATGTTCTTTTTTCTCTGAGATTATGTCATGAAAGATCACTATCTATATGATCAATGGTGTTTGAATATTTGTAAAAACTCAAATTCTTACTGTCGTTGAACTTAATCATCTCATCCTCAAGTTGTCATTTTCAACTACATGAGATTTCAAGTTTTTTTTTTTAGAATTATTATTCAGGATTTGCTAACAGATCTTAATAGACAATTTGATATAATGTTTATATGTAATACATTGTTGAGGATGTGTAGGAGATGCGTCGACAACGATAATTTATGATGTTGAATTTTTTTTATGATATTTATTTATAAATTAATTAGCCTTGTTCTTGTATAATCAAAGAACTGATAAATAGTATTTGATGAAAAGAAATCCTTTAATTATTAAACTTGTTTTACTGAATACAATTCCTTATTTATTTTTTTTTTAATTTCATTTTGTTAATTCTCTTTTATATGATATTTCAGGAATGGTATATTCACATTTTCCTTCATCATTGTCAATTAAAAATAGATGAAGACGGAGAATTGAAACTATAATGAGAATTGTAGGAAATATTCGAAAGAAACATCTGGAGCTTCCGAGATCAAATTAAGACACCCACTACGTACATTCAGCTCGCGAGACAGAATCAAACACAATTTTAATGTTGTCGACCTATGCATCTAGAAGAGAACAACAAGAGGACTGGTAGAAATACTCTGGCATTCGAGATCCCTCTACCCCTCGTCCTTTGACCCTCCAGTCAACCAATCTTGCATGATAAATCAGCCTTTGTTTACTGTGGTAAAGAGTCTGGTACAATGTCTAATCACGTGATTAACCGACCCAGATCAATGTCTCTATATATCTCTGATCGTGGTCCCTATATAAGAACATCATCCATAAACTTATTATTTATATTTGCTTAGCGTTTCTTCAAACCTCAGCATCCTATCAAACGATATTGTGTTCGCAAAAGATTAGAGTACTGTTGCTATATAATGGTGACTTCATCATTCCTAGTTCCAAGAGTTGAGAGTCTGTCAAGCAGTGGGATTCAATCAATCCCAAAAGAATATATTCGGCCCCAGGAGGAGCTAACTAGCATTCGCGATGTTTTCGAAGACGAGAAGAAAGTTGAAGGGCCTCAAGTTCCAACCATTGATCTGAAGGAAATGGAATCTGAGGACAAAGTGGTCCGTGAGAAATGCAGGGAAGAGCTAGTCAAGGCAGCTAAAGAGTGGGGTGTTATGCACCTTGTTAACCATGGAATTCCTGATGATTTGATTGATCGTGTCAAGAAAGCTGGAAAGGCTTTCTTTGATCTTCCTATTGAGGAAAAGGAGAAGCATGCTAATGATCAGGCTTCTGGAAATGTTCAAGGGTATGGAAGCAAGCTAGCTAACAATGCAAGTGGGCAGCTTGAGTGGGAGGACTATTTCTTCCATCTCATTTTTCCTGAGGACAAGCGTGACATCTCCATTTGGCCTAGGACACCTAGTGATTACACGTAAGTTTTCTTTATCTTTCTGAGACAATTAATACTTCTTTTTAAGTTGTTAATTGCCTGTTAATCAGACTCAAGATCCATATCCTACATGGGTCCGTATCCCACAGTCACATTCACGTCCAACTTGACTATGCTTCCCAATTTCTCTACAGTTTTTCCTTACTAGGAAAAGATGAGGGTGGAAGCAACACAAGTATTGCTAGTAAAGTCAAATTTTTTATATGTAATATCATCTCCAAACTTACATTTAATATCATAAAATTGTCTACTTAATTTGCAGTGAAGTCACTAGTGAGTATGCAAGGCAGCTGAGAAGTTTAGCAACCAAAATTCTGTCAGTACTGTCACTTGGCCTGGGATTGGAAGAAGGAAGACTAGAAAAGGAGGTCGGTGGTCTGGAAGAGTTGCTACTCCAAATGAAGATCAACTACTACCCCAAGTGTCCTCAACCAGATCTAGCCTTAGGGGTTGAAGCTCACAGCGATATAAGTGCACTCACTTTTATACTCCACAACATGGTGCCCGGTCTACAACTCTTATATGAAGGCAAGTGGATAACGGCAAAATGTGTCCCCAACTCAATCATCATGCACATTGGTGACACTATTGAGATCTTGAGCAATGGAAAATACAAGAGTATTATTCACAGGGGACTTGTTAACAAGGAGAAGGTAAGGATTTCATGGGCAGTTTTTTGCGAGCCACCAAAGGAGAAAATCATCCTCAAGCCATTGGCAGAGACTGTGACTGAAGCTGAGCCACCATTGTTCCCTCCCCGCACCTTTGCTCAGCATATCGAGCATAAGCTTTTCAGGAAGACCCAAGATTCTCTCCTACCCAGAAAAGCTAATTAATGGCAGCGCATCCTGTTCTTCAAGGCGATCAAGCTATGTCGTTGAAATGGTTCATCTACGAGACACCATTAAAAATAAAAAAGATTCATTTGTGATTTGTACTTTTAATGTGGCATGTGTAAGGCCATGGATTTGTCTTTGCTTTTTTCATTGCGATGCACTTGCTTTCATTGAATAATAAAGACTTGATTGCTACTTCTTATTTTTCATAACCCACTTTTGCATCTCCAAAATTGTTTTAGAAATATAAATATTTTTTGTTCAAAAATCCTAAAATAAAATTCAAAATTTAAAATTCAAAAATATTTTCTAAATACAAAAAGATAAATCTTTCGTTACAACTTATCAAAAAGCTAGAAAAATAATTAAATTAGAATAATATAACAAGATAAGTTGAAGAAAAACTTAACGAAAAGAAAAGAAAATTGAGGATCAAATCCATCTAAATTGAAAAAAAAAACTTAACGAAAAGAAAAGAAAGTTGAGGATCAAATCCATCTAAATTGAAAAAATTAACTAAGTTTAAGAATTTAATTAAATTTCTATTATATTTAATTGATTTAATTAAAGATGTAATTGAAGTCTAAAAATCAAATTTGAAAGTCAATTAAGCAAAACTTAAAAGAATTAATTAATTTTAAATATATAATTACACTTTTAATAAATTTTGTGGATTCAATTAAAATATTCAATTAAAAAAATGTGAAGTTTGAAGGTGTAATTCAAATTAAAAATAACTAATTTTATTATTTATTATAAACAAAAAAGCCCAAATACCAACTTTTAAACCCAAATTTATCTCTCACATCTTCACTAAACCATTTAAATCTCATATAGTGTTTATACTTCACTTTGGGTAAAAATATATTCCTACTTTTATTATTATAAAAAGACTTGCAGATGCTCTTTCAAATACATTACTTAGCATTAATCTGACTGTAAAAACAATCTTGTGTCCTGAGTTTCAGTTTCAATGAATAACTGAGATCTTTTCCTCAACATTAATCATGATCAACCCATGAACTCTAGAATCTTCCCATTTCTTTTGTAAAAATCCCCCAAAACCCTAATTCAAGCAGTCTAGAGAGAGAGGAGCACTACCATTGACACTATCTCCCAGCCATGATTGCAGCTTCTCCTTAATTTTTCCAGCCTGAAACCAACCCAAAAACAATCCTCAAACGTTAACCAACAGCAGCCCCTTCCACCGACGTCAGAAAACCTTCACTACGGACCCGTAGCATTCTATAACATCAAAGAATTGAACAGTAGACAAAGAAACCAACAATGAAGGAAAAGGAAACATGTCTGAAGGAAAAGAGAAAAAAAGAAGCCGAAAAGAGTCAAAAATGTTTTTCACTCTTCTCTTATACTAGCCTTCATTCCTCCAGTGAAGTAGCTGTCGATGAGCCTCCTGCACCAACAACCTCTTCTAGGTCCAGCACTGTGAGCAACAAATCTCCAGCATCAACAGCTCCTGCTTCAGCAAAAAAAACAAAAAAAACACAACAGCATCGACAACTCCTTCTGAGGCAAGCCACCCTTCCAGCAGCAGCACCGTAAGCTCCTTCCAACTAGGCCAGTAGCTTCCAGCAGTAGCACCATAAGGCTCCTCAAACCGTGACCAAGAGATCTCTCAACAACTCCACCGCCATCCAGGATTCGTTTCATTAGTTACGCCAACGGCAGTGGCGGAGAAGTAGCAGCAGAGGTTTCTCTTCATCAGCAACTTCTCTTAGACCATCCAAACCGTGTACCACAGCACCATCAGAAGTTTTGCTTCTCATTCTAAGCTGAAAGCAACAGAGATTGTTCTCAGCAACAAAAAATCTTCTTCAGCAACAGACCTCATCAGTGTTTCTCTCCAGTAGCTATTCTGCGCCGTGAGTATCAACGGAGGATTTGTTTCATCAGCAACAACAATGGGTATTCTCATCTTCAGCAGTAGCCATGAGCAATAGCAAATCAGTGTAACAGAGTTGCAGAAGTCCAGCAGCCTTGCATCCTCATTTTCTCGCTATTGAAGGTCTAATCCTCAAACTTCTTAAAGCACGAACTCCCATATTAATTATATGCATAATTTTTTGTGTTTGTTTTTATGATTTGCACGTGCTTGATTTGGAAATAATACATAGAGAAATTTCTTCATTGGAAGCTCATTTAAATCAATGTTTCGATCTTTCTAGAATAAAAGAGGGAACTTTGTGTTTTTTAGTGGACTTGGTCTTCAAGGCCGTTTGGTCCCTAAAAAGGCATGGGTTGCTTGTGTTAAGCTTGGCCCCTTTTTTTATCACAAAAAAGGCCTATATATTTTTCTTAGAATTGGTGTTAGTTTTCAGCCCGCGGCTGGGCTAAGCCTATGAAAGGCCTTAAAGCCATATTGGGTTTGATAAAAATTCTGTCAAGAAAAAAAATGTATTTTTTGGGTTTTTAAAGTTTGTTTTCCAAACAAAACATTATTATTATTATTATAGAAAACTACTATTCACTGATTATATTATAGTTTTTGTTTTCCTAATAGATTTATTGCGGATGTCAACGTTCAGTTTTTTTATTCATGATAGTCTCTCAAGTACGACTTTATTTTAAAATAGTTCAATATATAATTTTTTTTAGCAATAGGTAACAATTGACCAAACTGAAATTAAAAAAATGAATAAATCATTCATGGCCTAATCATACACTTATGACTCATAAACGGAATCAAAATAAACTATATAAATATATTATTTATGTGTTAAGAATCTTGTTAAGATTCATGTTATTCTGTGTTTTTTATGATTAAATTAGTGAGACTTACAAGTAAATCCTATTTTAAAAACATGATCTAATAGTATATCTTTTCTTATCATATTTTTATTTTAGCATTTAGCATTATTATTTTCTTATTAAAAAAGAGAAAATCACTCTAACCTCTTGATATTTGAGTGCTATTGCACTTTCCTTTTATATCGGGTTGATGTGATCAATACCATAATCAAACTTTAATAAAAGACTAAAATATCATTGACTCTTTTTTTCCACCTTTTCCCTTTTATTTATCCTCTGTCTTCTCCCTCCTTTCTCTCTTCTCCCTCCCTCAACATCTCCTCTCGTCACTTCTCTCTCTTAGTCAAAAGTGTGCTTCAAAGATGCCACAATCCTTTTCAGATTTCTCAAAAACCAATTCAACTCGATTACATTCTAATTCCAATCAATAAAGCCATCATTTTCCACTAATGCATCTACAATTTCTCGGTTCACAATAATTATGGACAAACAAATCACGTTGATTTAATGTCTAGAAGGCATCATTTTCCCATCTAGGGCTATGCTTAGATATGCTGGTGACCACCTTTAACAGTGGAAGCAAAGGCTATCACAAGATTTGGCACAACACAAGGAGTTGCCCTCACGTTGTGTCACCTCCAGTGTTAGGTAGCAGCCTCGCCCCTGGTGGCATGGGTTATTGCCTCCGGCGGGAGGGTTGGAGGCAACCATGGTTGTTGCCTCTATCACTAGTGGCGACCTGGCCTGGTGCTACAGGCACCAGCCAGCGCGTCCATAGTGCTGGCATTATTGCTAGTGGTGTACAATTATAAAAAAAATTATTTTTAAAATTATTTTGATTAAATTTTAAAAATTCATCGAAATTTGTATCAGAATAGAAGCAAATATTTTATTAAAAAACAAAAAACATGAGAGAAAGTTTTTTTGAAAAAAATAAATTTGCAAACAAATTTGATTTACAATTAACTTCAGTAATAATTAAAACATATAATCAACAAATATTAAAAAAAATAACTTACAAATTTTTTAGGGGACAAAAAATCCTGTTATATAAATTTAGAGTTGTTTAAGATTTATGCAAAAATTAACTAAAGATTATATATTTTTTTAACTTTGAATAATTTTTTTAATGCTAAGTTATTGCAAACCACAATTCATTCAATTTTTCAACATCTAACAGTAATCTATACCATCTACAAGAAAATTTTTTTCTAAAACCTTTTAAGATAAATGAATTGTTATACCTTAGAGTGCTAGTTTTTTTAGATGTTTTTGTATTATACTCTCCTCATATTCTCATATAAAATAAGAGATATAACATTTTATTTATATGAAAATCTAAAAAGCCCTATAAATAATAAAATATTATTTTCTTTTTATATAATATCACATATATTCCTTTAGGATATTATTAGAAGTGTATTCAATCAATTCCCTAATTGATTTTTTTCTAGGTGTAGAATTGTAATACCTGTATTAGTTACATTCTAGTCTTTAATTTTTAAAATTTATTAACAATTAAGTCACACTTGATTAATTATCTCATTTTAATTTATGATTAATGATTTTTATATGTGTTACCTATTAAGTTAGCTAATAAGATGCCCTAAATATAAATTGCAATCCTAAATAAAACAAGATTGAGTAAATTAAATAATTTAATTTATTATTAATTTAATAATTAATTAATTTATATTTGAAGATCAAGTACAATATCTACTAACATGTTATGATCTCCTAAAAAAATTATAAGTAATTTGACTTAAAATTTCAGTGACTTGTTTTTTAGTGTAATTATTTTTTCTTCATTAAAAATGTTCCTATTTGGACATTATTACATGGAGTATGCTTGCTTTGTTAAACTGTTTTAGTTCATAATATTATAGTAATTGATTTTTTAAATAAAATTTTAAAACTCCTTTTAAAGTCATTACATCTCAGCAAGTATTTTACAATCAATACTAATTGAAAATAAATAAAATATTTTTCTTAATTCATCTAAGGTGATGAATCATCTCTTAATTACTCAAATATCTTTATATAATTTATATTATACTTAATTTCTACTCATTTGTTATTTTTAATTAAGACAACATATGGTTAAGATCAAAACATAATATTTTTTATTTAATATAACTTATTAGTTTCAAGTCTAAGAATCACTTATACAACTATCATGTGAGTTTTTTCATAGATATAAATAATTTCTCTATATAAAATTTTCTTACATATCAGTTTAGTATACATGTCATTAAACTATTACTTGCATATTAGTTTCAAACATCCCTTGTAAAAATAAATATTACTTTTAGTTTCAAAAGCTCTAACTA